CTAATTTTCTGTGATGTGTCTGAAGAAATGGTATGAGACTGGTACAAGATATTGAGTTTAAGCTGTTATTGCTGTGCTAAGTGGAAACTTGCCAAGATCTTGCCGTAAGAGATGATAAAGGATACATGTTTATTGACAAAAAAGTAAAAGTAAAAGTAAAAATAAACAACAAAAAGGCTGCATGCTCTGAGTAGTGAAGTAAATGCAATGTGGTGGGATAGTTCACTTTCATAAGTGCTTTCCCAAAATCAAGACTGATTGATACACAATGATTATACAGCTGTCTCCAGGATGTTTCATGTGGACTCTATTAATTTCCTTAATAAGATCGTCTTGGAGTTATAACTTAGACTTATAAAGCGTAAATAGCCTTATGATGCTCCGTAGTGCAGGTTTGTTAAGAATAACACTGTACAGGTTATAGAATCACCATCCAATGAAGAAGAAGAGGAAGAAGAGCCTTTGCCTGAGGAATTTGTTCTAATTGAAAAGACTCAACCAGATGGAACGGTTGAACAGATTATATTCTCTTCTGGCGGAGATGTTGATGTGTATGATCTCCAAGCTTTATGTGATAAGGTGATTGATTACATTTGTCAAATTCTATTTGCACTGGGGTGAAAATTTGGTGCTTTCTTTAAGTTAGGCAACATAAGATTCAATTGAACAAACAGTGATGATTTGGTGCCTGGAGATATGAAATTACAATGCGCAACATGATATAACACAAAATGTTAGTATTATGAAGTTCATCCTCTTCAGCTTCTTCTGTAGCTTTTCATCCCTTCTAAGGGTTGACTTGAAAATGTTCATACTGCTATAGGCTATAGGAACAATTGCAGTCATGATTTTGTCCTTTGTGAAACGAAAGGAGCATGTGTACTTGTTAATAGTCTAGCAGGAAGGCACGAGAAATTTCTTTCATATTATATTAGTCTAGAGTCTAGTCATTGTGAATGTATTAAATTCTGGGGGCCGTATCCATGTACTCTAAAATAAGAAGCATGAAGGTGAACCCGTTTTACCTTCTGTTGACACTTTTTAATCCACTTATTCACAATCTATGGAAATGCAACATGAGTTGGGGACAAATTTAAATACACAAAATTCAAGCCAACATGTACTAATTGCCTGGTAAATGTTCGTTTTTTTGGAATCAAATTGGACATCAAGTTTTGAGTTCCAAAGGAAAGGTGGGGCAGAGGAGCTTGAAGTACAACATGAAGAAAGAAGAAGAAGCCAAAGCAGATTGACGAGATAGAGTGGAAGCTAGCTGCGGTGCCAAAATATCTCTCTAGTTCCTCATCTATGGATACAAGAATCCTGGTCCTTATATACTTTCTTTTATTGCACGGGAGGTCTATTCCCATCAAACTTTCTTGTGGTAGTAATGGCGAGCTCATTTTATTTTTGGAGGATTTTGCTTTCTATTCTTGCAGCTGAGAAGCCTCAAGCTGTGTCCCCTATTCACAACATCTATAAAAAGCCCTTCCTCTTCCTTTCCTCTTAATTATCAGGTAAGCTCCAGAATGGCCGCAATTATGAGTTGCTTTCTTCCATGGGGAAAGCTGCAATCGAACTCTAGTTCTGGAAATAAGTTGGGGCCCTTTTATCAAGTATATCAGATGGAAGATGATAGAGGGCCAACTGTCGTTGTTTCGTACAAGATAGTTCCCTTTCACTTCGATTTCCTTCTTTCCATACCAGATTCCAAGAATACTAGTCCATGTACTTTTCCTTTAGTGCATGGGAGGTCTATTCCCAATAGTTATTTCTCCTTTAGATGGGATCATCTTATGGTACAGTCTGCTAAAGAATTAAAGGCTAGTGACACATTAAACAAGTGATTCTTTTAATTGATATGCCACTTTTGTTACTTCAATTAAGACAGGGACTTGGGTAGCTATGCTAAGGATAACAAAATGCAAATCGAAATTCAAAAAGTGTATTCTTTCACTGTGGATGTTTATTTGGTTGACGCAACTTTTCATTACTAGGACCCAGCACTTCTTAAGTTCTGCAAAGTTGTGTGTTTTCAAGTTCCTACTGATACGTGTGCAAATAATCCCCTTTTAGATGTTGCAAAACTAAACTTATGTGTTATAGCATGTGATTGGTTTGACAGGTTGGATGGCCTCGAAGGCCACTGTCTAAACTAGCTGCTGCTCTTAAAAATAGCTATATAGTTGCAACTTTGCATTCCAGGAAGTTCTCTTCAGGAGAAGGTATGTAGGTAGAACAACTTTATTGTGGGATTCATATGTTTATCTTTAAGTATTATGCCCAATTATCTGAATTTGTGTGCAAATGAGTTTTATAAGTAAGTGATAAAAGTCTTAATCTATTTGGACAAGTTACTTGGCAGAGGGGAATNACAAGTTACTTGGCAGAGGGGAACGGAGAAAAGAAGCTGATAGGCATGGCTCGTGCAACATCAGATCATGCTTTCAATGCAACAATTTGGGATGTTCTTGTTGATCCTTCCTATCAGGTATCTGCTCTGTGCGCCTTGAAGAAATTTGTCCGTGCTGTCATAGCTATTTAATTAGTGGCTACTGGTCATCGCTTGTACTAGTCAGGAATCAGGATAGGTTTTCCTGAAACTTTTCATGCAGTAGCACAATTTTGTTTCTTTTTTTAAATGATGCAAGTGATTTTTGCGCAGAGGTATTTTTTCCCGATTCTTTTGGATTGGTCTAAGTTGTCAACCTTACATCTTCATTTTCCTAGTAATGCAATACAACAACTACGCCTCAATCCCAAGCTAGTTAGGGTCGGCTGAATGAATCCTCACTAACCATGTCGCTCCATTTAGACGCGTATAAGTACAATGTTTAAAGATTTAAGTTCTCATGCACTAGGAGTTCTCTCCTATACAACATATATCCATCTTAACGTTCACATTTCTGCGACGTCTTGTGGATATATTGAATCTTAGGGGTCCAATGTTCACTCCTATATAACATAACTGGTCTTACAATTGCTCTATAGGATGTGTCTTTCACTTTGATAGGTGTCCTCTTATCATATAACACTCTGGTGGCACTTCTCCATTTCAATTATCCTATTCTAATTCTCTGTGTAACATCTCATCTATCATACTCCCTCCGTCGCAATTTATGTGAAGGTAATTGATTGGGCACGGAGAAAAAGAAATGAAGGAAAACTTTTACTTGTGACTTAAAACAAGCCATAAAGCTAATTTGACTAGGAAATGCTTTCAATGCAACAATTTGGGATGTTCTTGTTGATCCTCCCATAATTGCAATATTGAACTAAAAATGGATTTAACTAGGAAATGCTCATCTATCTTGAAGAGGAAATGGCTGTAAATGCTACTATATGATAACCATTATCCTCACGTGTTTGTATATTGGATGCGTCTTATTTTCAAACTTATGTGGAACTATTACTGATGGTTTTCTTGATAATCTTCTTGTACTTCGAAGTTAATTTTGAACTAACATAGTCGATTTGATGGATTTTTTTGACATTCAAAGGGACAAGGACTTGGAAAAGCTCTTATTGAGAAACTGATAAAGACCCTTCTCCAAAGAGACATTGGAAATATTTCATTGTTCGCGGATAGTCAAGGTACCATTAGAACCAAGGTCTTTGATCGGTGAAGATTTGTTTGGTGTTGAATCATATTGGCTAGTTTTTGTTGAAAAACTTTTAAATCTTCTTTGAATCTTATATCTTAAAAGTTATCTTTTGTTACAGTTTCTCCATTAACCTAAATAGGCTTCTGAAGCAACTTTCATTTTTCTTTTTACAGTTGTGGAATTCTATAAGAATCTAGGTTTTGAACCTGATCCAGAGGGTATTAAGGGAATGTTTTGGTATCCAATGTATTAAACATGTATAGTTGGACCAACAGTTTCGGCCTCTTGCTCTGTACAAATTCCTCAGCGTGGTGCGGGAATGTGGCTGTTGGATTCTGCGACAACATGCAGCATTCTTTGGAAGCTTATGAGCTTTTTGGCCATCTTGTAATGTACATTATAATGACTATGGAACATTTGCGATTGTATCTTGAGGGTCATGTTGTATTCTTGTTAGAGGATTTCGGTATACATGCACAAGGGCTAGGTTTCTGATAGTTTATTAGATGTTGCTTTTGATTAAAATGTAACCTCATTAATTTTTTAATAGATCTTGTTCCATTATAATTTTCCTTGTCTACAAATTCTTCCATATCATTTTCCTGTTGCTTCTTGCCTTGGCTGTTCTTGACAGTGGTGCAAATTGCTACTCTCCATTTCCTAAATTAGCAGTCATATTTTTAATCTTTACATGTTCGATGACATGATGTTGAGTAATGCACAAGTAACAACAATAATAACATACTCAGTGTAATCCCACATCGTGGGGTCTGGGGAGGGTAGTGTGTACGCAGATCTTATCCCTACTTTGTGAAGGTAGAGAGGCTGTTTCCAATTATAGACCCTTGGCTCAAGTAACAATGACAAAATTCTCTCTTTTATCAAATGCATGCAGTACAGGAAAAGATAGCTTTATATCGGTTTGTCTTTCCGCTTGAGGTGGTGTGCCACACTGAGAAATCTGCATTTCTAAATTGACAGATCTGGTCTTGTTTTCATGCAAATTGGGACATAAAAAGTATTATATATTTCGATAAATAGGGAGTCAACTTGACATGGGAAGCATTCCAACAGCAGAATGTGTAAACAAGATAAAGAAGCAGAGTCAGATAGCTTTTGAGACAAAGCTAAAGTTACCTACCCAGAGAACTTTTGTCCAATGTTATAGTACTTAATTAGTCAGTAGAGAAGACCAAGTCCCCTTGCCTAGTTCATATAAGTCATTGTTTATTCCCACACCAAAATAACTGGAATTTTTCTGTATCAAATTGCCATTACTAAATATCACTATGTCCAATTTCTTTTTTGTCAACTCATATTGACAATGCCATTGCCAACTACTAGCTGATTTTCGTTTTCTGGTGAATATAAAAAGAGGAAAACTTGACAAGTTCAAGATTGCCAGTGTCAACTCTCAGCTATCCTCACATATCTACATGTTTAAAATGATACCACTTTCCTACCATTTATGTAGCATTTCCAGATATCGGTCGAGCCTTTGAGTCTCATTGAGGTTTCTGGTAAGAGGTCTAATTATTTATATTTGGAAATTGAATTTTTTTTTTTGTAAATTTGTATCCGGCCATGACTTCTTTTCATTTTTTTCTTTAGCCGAGTGTCTATCGGAAACAACATCTCTGTCCTACAAGGGTAAATTTGTATCCAACTACAACTTCTTTTCATTTTTTTCTTTAGCCGAGTGTCTATCGGAAACAACATATCTGCCCTGCCAGGGTAAATTTGTATCCAACTACAACTTCTTTTCATTTTTTTCTTTAGCCGAGTGTCTATCGGAAACAACATATCTGCCCTGCCAGGGTAAATTTGTATCCAACTACAAGTTCTTGTTATTTTTTTCTTTAGCCGATTGTCTATTGAAAACAACCTCTCTGCCTTGCCAGGGTAAATTTGTATCCAACTACAACTTCTTTTCATTTTTTTTAGCCGATGGTCTATCGAAAACAACCTCTCTGCCCTTCCAGGGGCAGGGGAAAGATCTGCGTACACACTGCCCTTTCCAGACCCCACTTGTGGGAATTCCCTGGATTTTTTGTTGTTGTTGTTGTTTGTAAATTTGTATCTGTGAGGTTTTATTAATGTTCCGGCTACTTCAGTCGGAAAAAATACCTACCTTTTCGGATCTTTGGCAAAATAAATTTTCTGACTACAGTAGTTGGAAAAGTTTTTCCGATGTACTATTTTCCGACTACTCAAAAACATTCGAAAAGTGGTCGGAATAGATATTTTTCTGACGAAAAGTAGTGGGAATAGATACTTTTCCGACTATTTTGGTAGTTGGAAAAAAGCTATTTTCTAGTAGTATTTTACTTGTGCTCTTCGTGATGGATTTTCCTTGATCAGTTTCTTTTGTGAAGTAGTTAAGAAATTAAAAATTACCTTCTTCAAAGAACTAAAAGAATAACTTTTTTTGTTTAAAGATACTTGGAGATGGGCAGAAGAGAAAAGGTAGTAGGACACAATGAGATGGTATTACTGCTTATGACTCTCTCAACATGTTGGTCTGCTTATGGACAACCAATGATCACTGATCCAAATGAAGGTAACCTTTTTACCTCCATATCATTTTCTTCTTTGAAGGGAGCCGAGCAACGATAAAGTTGTTGTCGTGTGATCTATTGGTTATTGATTCGGGTGATGAAATCTACTTGTATCAGAAATATTTCGTGCACCAGACTATCCTTTATATCATTTTCTTCCGCAAGTTACACTATTTCCTTTCCGCTGTTTGATAGTCTCTTGTGATTTGCAAGCAGGCAACACTCAGACAAACAAAACAATAAGGTCTAATTTGTTTTCGAAAGTTGTTTTTGGTTAAAGGGAAAATAATGACTGTGTTTGGGTGTGAAACTTGGTTGAATGATGTCGGGTCGTTCAAAAATAGTCCAGTTTCAAAAGTAATCGAAATTTAGCCACTTTTTATGTAAAGATAAATCTGAGCGAAAATACTGTTCAAAATCCGAAAAATACGCCAGTATATTATATTGGAGTTCCAAGATAAGTATGCTGGAACTCCAGCATAAGCATATGTACACTAGAATTCCAGCATAATATACTGGAGTTCTAACAAGTATAATTGTCCAGTATAATATACTGTAGTTTGGAGCACCGGTGCTCCAGTCTCCAGTATATTATACTGGAGTCAGCAAAGTATACCGGTCCAGCATAATATGCTGAAGTTCATACACAGGTGCACCGAACTCCAGTATATTATGCTGAACCGGTCTTTGTTCAGCAAAATAGTGGCTATTTTTCATTGACTTCGTAAACGCTGGCTATTTTTGAATGACCAGTCCGAAAACTGGCTATACCGTGTTATTTTTACAATAAAAGATATTGTTAAAATCCTAAAATAATTGTGAAAATAGTACGGGCTAGCCAGTTTTCGAACTGGTAATCAAAAAATAGCCAACGTTTGCAAAATCATTGAAAATAGCCATTGTTTTACTGAAACATAGAAAGTTCCAGCATAATATGCGAGATTATGGAGCTTTTGGGTATAAACTTCCAGTATATTATGTTGGAACTCCAGCACACAGAAAGTACCAGCATAATATGCTGGATTATGGAGCTCCTGCATATAAACTTCCCCAGCATATTATATTGGAACTCCAGCACATTATGCTGGAAGCTCATATGTAAAAAATTCGAACTTCAGCATATTATGTTGGAATATTTCCGAATTTTTAAGGGTGTTTTTGTTCAGAATTTATCTTTACATGAAAACGTGACTAAATTTCGATTACTTTTGAAATTGTGGTTATTTTTCAATTACTAGTTGTAAATCTACCTATTTTTAAAAAAAAATTCCAAAATAATTTTCTATGCTTTCGTATGGGTGAAATTAATTTTATAACTTACTTAACATGTTGAGGTACTAATGCACTTTTTAAATTTTTATGAATGAAAAAGTTGATGGACTAAAAGAAAAGATTTTGGCTCCAAATAAAATTATGAGTAAAAGAGAGTTTAAAACTTCCGTATGGATGAAATTAATAGGTTAAATTTGCTGATTGTGGTTACTGCTTCTCTTTTTAAAGCGTCTCCACCACCGTCTTTTTTTGTCGTCTGATTTGATCATGCTTTTTTTGAGCCGAGAGTTTATCAGAAACGGTCTGTCAACTTTCACAAGGCCTACGTAAACAGTACTTAATCCAGACCCCACTTGTGGGATAAATATGTTGTTGTTGATTGTTTCTGAAATATATTTTTGAAAAAAAGTTTTTGTCTGTTTCAAAAAGAACACAACTTAAAATTCCCACGCATTTACCTTAAATCACACACAATCAAAGACTTTTATTCTACATTACAGAATTATTTGATCAGATGTATATATGTCTCTAAAGAGACTTTCTCTTGGGTTCGACAATGACAAGTCTTTGTGTTAATTTTCTTTAATTTCTTCGAGGAATTTTGAGTTTTTGACTATAACTATTGCTCCACTAGCAATATAGGTATAAGAAAAAATAACATGCCGAAGAAAAACTTAGAAGAATTAAGTTGCACCTTTGAATGATGCTCCATCCGTTCCAATTTAATGACCAATCTGATTCGAGATAATATTTAAAAAAGAAGAATATTAAACCTTGTATTTACTAAACACATTGTGATCTTACAAAATGGTTGTAATATATCGTTTCATAATGTATCATATAGTACTGTATCGTTTTAATGTATACAGTGTTTGGATAGATTATACTGTTTACCGTTATTTTATAATATCATTCATCAACAATATAAAAAATGAATATGCAATATTGTAAAGGAAAAGTAAGGTACGAGGTAATAATATTATATAAAAAGATATGGTAAAGAATTAAATAGGATTATTTAATAATAAAAAACGACAAGATGAGAGAAAAACATAAGGTAACGACGTGACCACACCAAATTGGTCATTCCATAATTTGGCACATTTTGTCATTACGTAACAATCAAAACAACATTGTATTTAAAGTAACGATACAATACATCAAGTTACAACCATCCAAACAAGCTGTTAATAATTTGTTTAGCTATAAAATCTTCTCATCAAAGATAAATTAGACCATCTTCAGCCCTAACACGAAATTTCACACCAAAATGGTGTAACACCAAATTTACTCCAACCATTACACCATTTTTTACACCAAAAAAGAATATTTCTTTTTATATTCTTCTCTCTCTTCTATATTATATTATTATCTTCAATTTAAATTTTATTTTTTATTTCCTTCAAACAAATTCTATCTTTTTTCCTTTTTCCATATTCATCACATATAATTCACATTCACCACTTATATAATTATTTATTACAAAATTATTTTAAAGGATAAATCAACTCAAAGTGAAATTATTGATAAAAGATAATTAAATAAATATTACATCATAGTCAAATTTAATTTAAGTACCACATAAAATTTTATTGACGAAGTTGAATTCCATTGACGATCCAAATCTTCGTGAATATTTGCGACAAGAACAAAAACGAATAATCGATAAAAGAAGTCAACAATTTCAACAACCACAAGCACAACAATCTTCCACCCCATTCTCTCAGTTTTTTAGTAATTTTGGTGCACCTTGAAATGACATACCGGATTACTAAACTTATGTTTTATGTTTTTAATGTAATTTCAATTTTAATGTATCCTCCTTTGATGTACTTTTAATTTTAATGTATTTTTATTTTATGTATTGTTAATTTTCTTTTTTAAATTTTAGTTTTTACTTTTCAATTTTAGCAACATTAGATATCTTACATTTGCATTTTTCAATTTTAAATAATGGTTATATTTTTTTTATACAATTATAATAATAATAAAATTAACTTATAATTTTATATAAATATAATATATACAGATATTAATATATCAAAATAAATTGGATATAAAATTAAAATTATAAATATCTTAATATAAAAATTAATTATACACACAATATATGATAAATTAAAAGTCTAAAAAAATAAAAAGATGAATAAAATAATAATAAATCAAATTTGGTGTTNAGCAAGTTGTGTGAAAGTATCTCATTAATTGCATAATAGAAATATTTAAATAGGTTTTTATAATAGACGTTGAGTGGGACCCAGCTCGTGCACACCTAATCTAAATAGGTATTAATGCAGCAAAACAACTATCCTAAGCTCTCACCAAAAATTAAAAGGAAAAAAGAAGAAGTGAAAAAAAAAAAAAAAAAAAAAACCTAAGTTTTACATGTAAAAAATAGTGCACAATTGGAAAAATTGAATTGAAATATAAAATATGCGTATCTTTTTTTTCAGAATTAATTAGACAATAATTTCATACATTAAAATGAAATGAGGAAAGTAATTGTGTACTTAATTGATGAAAAGTAACAGTGTAGTAGCAATGAGTTACTGGTGTGACATTGCCGGAATTTGCAGTGACGGCGTTAGAGGCGATTCGCCGGAGACTAGAAGATCCGGTGGGTTATCTGAGGAATTGGGAAAAGGAGAAAGACCCATGCATTTCGTGGTCTTTTGTGCACTGTGTTCCAAACAAAACTGACGGTTATCAGCACGTCAACGAATTGTATGCACCTCGATCTCCTCTCTCCCTCTCTATGTTGTTTTATGTATTTTTCTGTAGTAATAGTATTGTGTGAATAACCTTACTCAAAATTTGTGTCAACCAAATTAAACATCTCATAATTCATTGTGTTTGAAAGCTTTTCCTTTTCTGTTTCATGCGGAAATGCAGGCGTCTGATGAATATATCCTTATCTGGTACACTAGCTCCTGAGCTTGGCCAGCTAACACAAATGGAAATATTGTGAGTCCCTACAATTATATTACTTCCATTTGATATTAATTAGCACTTGTTAAGTGCAGTACTTAGTACATTTATTTCAGCTTTAATTTTGAAGGGGAACTTTGGAGCAACGATAAAGTTGTCTCCGTGTGACCTATAGGTCACGGGTTCGAGCCGTGGAAGCAGCCACTAGTATTTGCGTTAGGGTAGATTGTTTACATCACACCCCGGGTGCGGCCCTTCTCGGACCCTGTGTGAATGCGGGGTGCTTTATGCACCGGGCTACCTTTTCTTTTTCAGCTTTAATTTTGGTGATGATGATTCCTTTGCTTTCTAATTTTTCATAGGAATTTCATGTGGAATAGCATTAGCGGCAGCATACCGAAGGAGATAGGCAACATTACTGCTCTGAGGCTACTGTATGTCTCTTCACTGCTTAATTAGGAAAAACATTACTCCCTCCATTTCATTCTAATCATTGTGAAGAGAACCCCTTTTTGTTTGATATGATCATTTGAAAAACATCAATAGTTTGGACAAAACTATGGCCTTCGTGTACTCATTGTCATTTTCTATCATAGTGAAGGTTGCTATGACGAGGTCGTTGTGCTAGTGAAGATTGCTTCTAATGATCGGGATTTAAAAAAAATACAGAAACCATAAAGTGTAACGGTGTATGAATGGACACAAAGTTAAAGTGTTAATTTGATTCGTGTATTGTGTTTCCTAATTGAAGAAATATTAAAATAATGGTTAAAAAGTTAGTTTGTTAGAGAAAACTAATTTTTGAATTATCTTTATTGAGAAATGAAGTCTTATCTTTATCATTAGAAGTTACATAAACATTTACTGGAATTTCACTTCTCCATATAAACTTCAATCAATATTTTCGAATCCTTGCTTCAGTTGAAGCCAGAATATGCATATGCCTTACTGTTTACAATCAGTGCTTTTGCTTACAGATGTTATAGCTGAAGATATCTAATAAACAACTTGCATGTATTCAACATATATCGATTGTGCACTTCTTCTGTCCTTGCAGGCTTTTGAGTGGAAATCAAATATCAGGTCCTTTACCAGAAGAGCTTGGTTATCTTCCTAACTTAACTAAATTTCAGTTGGACTTAAATACTATATCGGGACCAATACCAAAATCGTTCGCGAAATTGCCAAAAGTTGTGCATTTGTGAGTTCTCCACTAGAACCCAAAGATTCTCTGCTCGTTGTGGTGGTATGGATATGTTTAGTTTCTGTATTAATCATTCTTGTTGTGAATGCAGCCATATGAATAACAATTCAATAAGCGGTCAAATTCCTCCGGAGCTTTCTGCTTTACCGCTTCAACACTTGTAAGAATCACTTAACCTACAACACCTAGTTTGACTAAATTGGCAAGCAGAGTTACAATGCCATAGGAGCTAGAAATTTTTTCTCTGCAATTTTCATGTTTGGATTTACTTGAATGTGCATTATTTCAGTCTTCTGGACAACAACAACTTATCAGGTTACCTTCCGCCAGAGCTTGCACAGATGCCGAGCTTAAAGATTCTGTATTACCTGTCTTTTAACTCTAAGCTTTTGCTGTTTTTTCTCGATAATTTAATGTCATTTCAGCATTAATAAGCAAACGCAACACCCCTTTTCCCCCACAATAACAACTTTTGCAGTCAACTTGACAACAATAACTTTGAAGGCTCTGTGATTCCAGCTTCTTACAGCAATATGTCCAAACTCTTGAAGCTGTATGTTACTATTCATCTCTTACGTTTATTGGTTTATATCCCCCTTCTCGTTCTGCTGTTTATAGATGCCTGTTTGCACAAAGCAAGAATATATAGTTCTAAAGGATGTTTGTCATCACTTAAAGATTATTTATCCCAAATTTTGATCAGAAAATAAGTCCCCAAGTGGAATATTCTGAAATAAATATTATCCCCGTTGATGTAACCTTTGACAGGCGGTAGCATTATAAAAGAGGATTAATATAACTTTTTCTTCCCATGATTATCAATTAATTTTCAATAAAGGTCTCTATCTCCCCTCCTCACACGAAACGAGAAAATTACAATAATGTTTTCATTCTTAAAGAGTGGCTTTTTACATAACATGGAGTAACAATTTAAAGAAAGTGATAAAGATTGTTGGAGGAACTTTATACTATACTATGAAGCTTACGATGTAATGATACTATGATTTTATTAACCTTTCCTTAATGAAAATTACATAGTATAATATTTCATCGAACCTGCAGGAGTCTTAGGAACTGCAACTTGCAAGGAACAGTTCCTGATCTGAGCACAATACCAGACCTTCTTTACTTGTAAGTTGTAAGCATACTTCATCGAGAAATTTTGCTGTCCAGTTAAAATGTTTCTGTTTTGCTAACCTCTTGATAGTGTTGATATCGGCGAAATTTTTCTTAATAATTCTTCTATACTAGATGAAGTTGAACTCATCTGCCACTCAATTAATTTGCGCTGATATCCAGAGAGTTAAATTTACAACCAGTGACTATTCATCTGATATAAATTTTTCATGTCACAGAGACCTTAGCAGAAACCAACTCACGGGAAATATACCTTCCAATAAGCTGTCTGATAATATCACAACCATGTAAGTTTCTGGTAAAGTTTGAAACTGCTCAAATCTTTCCTGGTTTATTCACTCATCTTTTTATCTCACTCCCTTCCCCTTCTCACCTCCCCCTCCCCCACTCCCTATCGACATCTACCAGTAGGCGGTTGAATGTACATTAGTTCTTAACACACACCCTTTTCTTTTTCATGTTTGAGTAACTTACTCTTGGTATCAGACTCTCAATAGTGGACTAAGTGCTTTGGTGGTGATTGCAGCATTCTGTCTGGAAACATGCTCAATGGTTCTATCCCTTCGAACTTTTCTGCCCTTCCAAGTCTGCAGAAACTGTAAGGAGCTTCATTTGCTCAATCTTTGCTTCTTGTTTCTCAGGATGTTTTAAATTTCATTTCGATACTCTATTAAATGCAGTATTGACATTTCCTTCCGTTAAAATTATTTTTCTTGTAGGTCACTCAACAATAATAGGTTAAGTGGTTTTGTGCCAACTACCATTTGGGAGAATATGACATTTTCCCCAGACGCAAAACTTAGATTGTAAGAGTCTCATTCGTACATATTACCCTTATCAGTACTTTATTTTCATGCTTATCTTCTCTACTTTCCACAATCTATTGGCTGTTTAAGTTAGTAACCATAAGAGAGAAAATAAAAGCTTTTTTGAAATCCCCAATAGCCCATGAGGTTTGAAACATGGTGTGTAATGGTCCTTTACCCTTATTCATTTAAATTCCAGTTTTTTGTTTGCAGTAGGGTTCGAAGCCGTGACTTGCGCCTAACCCATATGTCACAAGTTGTGCTCTTACTACCAGATCAAGGCCTTGGGAGCCAAGATAAAAGCTTTTTGTAGTTAATCAAGTCAAGTTTATGTGCCAATTTCAGTTTGGTAGCTTTCAGTTCACATGTAATTTTGGATAGACAAAGAATGTATCCTGAAAAATAAAGTACATTCAAGGTCCATTGGCAACAACAGTTTCTATTTCTATACAGTTAAAAACTTAAAATACAACAAGGAATAATCTGTCTGCTTTTTGTTTTGTTAGAGGTAGGTACTAAAGTGTGTATTCTGTCCTCTTACTAAACCATGCCATGTCTGACTAGAAAGGGCCCCTCAAATGTTAATTTATCAGATTGCCAGGCTTATCCAGTTGATCTCCTTTGTGCAGGAACCTTCAACGTAATTTACTCTCAGATATTTCAGGCATTCTTGATCCTCCTCCAAATGTCGATATTATGTAAGACCTTATTTCCGATAATCTTGTACATATATATTATTGTACTTACTTTCAGTTCTCGGCTTTTATAATTGTATGTGGCGAATCTGCTATTTATCGTTTGTTAGAAACCAAAGAAGTTCTATATTTCATATCTAGAAGAGAAGATTACAAGGCCTATTTATAATACTAATTCACCTAATCTATTAGTTGCCATACACCTAATTACACCTACTATACAACTCATATACATGTCCTAGCTATGATGTAGTACATGTGTATACATGTGCTACACAACTTGTATTACACCTACTATACAACTCATATACATGTCCTAGCTATGATGTAGTACATGTGTATACATGTGCTACACAACTTGTATTACACCTACTATACAACTCATATACATGTCCTAGCTATGATGTAGTACATGTGTATACATGTGCTACACAACTTGTATTACACCTACTATACAACTCATATACATGTGCTTGTATTACACCTACTATGTACCAGGAACATCGTTCATGGTCCTGTTTTTTTTATAAGCTTTAATATCTGCAATAATTCTGTGGAGTCCTTAGTTTCTATTTTCTGCGATTAAACAGAATAACTAACATGAAGAAGTCTCAGGCAGACTTGTTATAGAACTTCCCATGACAACATTTGTGTTAATTAGCTAAGTTATAGACATTAACATTACACTAGCTGTAAAGTTTCTGTAAACCTTGAAGTTAGAAACGAGTAATGACAGTCAAGGGCTGTCCGGTAATCGTTACAGCAGTCCTCATTAGGAAAACTTCACTTTATTATATTTAACGGATGTGCAAAATTCTTTCTGGACCAAAACCCAATTTTGATTTTATTGGGTAATGAAATGTTCATATTGTTCATCTTATACTTTTAACATTCATCTGAAACATACTCTGAATCCAGTGTGGAATTACACGTTAGAGTGAAGTTCCTTGATATTTCTGAGTTCTGACTTAAGTATTCCATAAATGATGATGCTTTAATGGAATAACTTTCAGGCTTTATGGAAATCCTGTTTGTGGAAATGCAAATGAGCATCAGATTATACGATTTTGTAAATCAAAACATGAAGATGAAGAGTATGGAAGCTTGAACAACTCTATTCCAAGTTGTTCCGCACAGCAGCCTTGCAACAAGGATTTCGAACATGTCCCAGCATTAACGGATGACTGCATTTGTGCAGCACCTTTTGGGGTTGGTTTACGTTTAAGAAGCCCCAGCATTTCAGACTTTCCGCCACATCGTAGTGAATTTGAACAGTGGATAACAAAAAGCGTTAACTTGGATTATTATCAATTATTCATTCATTCGGTTGCATGGGAAATCGGTCCTAGGCTTGGGATGTTTCTGAAATTCTACCCTCTACGTACAAATGATTCTGGAATAAATGATTTTGGCAAATTTAATAACAGCGAGATAGTACGGATTGCAAACAAATTTGCTTTGTTTAATCTTACTGGAACTGATATCTTTGGCCCATATGACCTGCTCAATTTCACTGCCATGGGGTATAATTCTGGTATGTTTCCAAACCCGTTGTGTTTTTGCATAAGTAGGATATAATCTGTAATGTTACTGACAGATCAAATTCATTAAAATGTGGACGTGTTTAGTTGTAGTTGTAGTTATGTAATGATTTCCTGAGGATTTTAAAGTAAAACCAATTTGAATCTCGTTTTTTTTACAACTGAGGTCACGAATGGAGTATGATAAATACAAATTTTAGTTCAAATTTCTCTAGGGAGGCACAAGAACCCAAGTTTGAGATTAGCATGCAAGCTTAGAGAAATGCCTTTGATTATCTTACAACTTGTTTCTTCAGTTCTTATTTTGTGTTTAATGCCTTCTCAGATATATTTCAACTAGACTGGAATTCTAGAACTCTTGTGCGCCTGCATGACTAATTTTTATTTTATTCTTGCTGATTCTTGAGTATAATTATTATGATTATTATTAAATTCTTTTTTCTTTTCCTAGTCATGCTCAGATAAAAATTATCTTTCCGTTGTGCTCTTTTTCGTTTTTGAAAATGTTTATTTATATCGTTTATCTTGTGATATAGAGCATAGTTTCTTCTTGTTGTCATAGATGTATGCAAGTATGAAACCAATGAAATTCTTTAGGCACCGTGTATGCTTTGACTCTCAACATCCTCATAAAAAATGCTAAACTGACAGAGATGCTAGTGATCTCTTAGATATTCAGTAGGGTCAACCAAGACTGAATTGGCGACATTACTATAAGTGCTTAATTAAATAAAATCTTAGTTAAACCATATGGTAATTTCAAAATATGCTATCGTATAAGAGAGAATAACTTGCTCTCTTCTTGTCTTACTTCCTGCTTTCTCACGGTTAAATTACGAATGCTTTTCTTCTTGCAGTCCTTTTCCCCCCGGTGGGGGTAGGGGAAGGGGGAAGCAGAATCAGCAGAGCCACCTTGGTTGGAATTATCTTAGGGTCCCTATGTGCTGCAGCTGTGATACTTGCGGCCATAGCATTTGTGTTGCTTAAAATGCGTCGGAGGTTCCATGTCTCAAAAGATCAACCATGTGAGTTAATCTTCAGTTATCTTATTTGACTTTTGCTCAGCTATGGAGAGTTTCTTCTCCATCTCTTTCACTCACCCCATTCGAGAACTTGTTGGTTAAGTAGTCAATAGGTTTATATTTGACGAGCGCAAAATACACAAGAAAATTTATGTTTGCTAGTCAAAGATAGTATAGTAAAATTATTGTCTCCACAGGGATTAAATTTAAATAATGTTCGAATAATTTCTAGTTAATTGCTATCCAAGAGGATTAACACTTTGATTGGAATGATTATGAACCACAATTAACTACTAAAAGTAAAGCAAATAACAATTGATCGCGAAGAACTAGAGATTAGCAGAATTGGTTGGTTACCGGTGTGAAAAATAAGGGTCATGACATGATAAGTGCAAGATTGTTATCTTGGAATTGGCACCGTTAAATTTCACTCTTAATGTTCTATTGATTCTCACGAATTCAACGGGTTATTATCATATTATTCTGATTTAGGTTCCTCTCTCGATTAAACTTAAACCATTCAAATAAGCTAATATGAAGTGCGTGAAACTTGCAAGAATCTGTTGGTAGGAATGGTTTGAGAGAAACTTCTCGCGAATATTTCTCAATCTTAATTGAAAAGATAGATCACAAAGCTCTTTCGATTACTTTAAAGAAGTACCAAAATAAATTAGGCATGCGTTGCAACAATATTCAAAATTATGCTCCTCTTCCGATTAAACACTATAATGAATAAAATCACTACTAGAGTTAAAGCTCCAACAAATTCAAGAAATCAAACAAGAATCAAATCCGCAGATAACAATCAAGTCACCAAATCATGTCAAATCCTAAACTATTCCATAATCATGGAAAAAGTCATCACAAATAGAGTCAAAAAATAAGAAAAAATCAATCCAGCGTTGCAATCCAAACTCCCGTATTGAATTGGTGGAAAGATGATGAAATCTTGTGTCTTGAAACCTCCAATGCTCTTCCAATCGTTCCTAGGTCGAATCCCCTTAAAAACGTGTTTATCGTGTGTTTATACCATGTAGGAATAGTCTTAAACCGAAATAACCTTAATGGATCGAAATAGGATTGCACAGACCTAAAAATTGCATTGACACGCCGTCGGGCACGTCGCGCCGCACGGCGTGCCAATGGACAAAATCAGAGGGCTATTCATTTCTGCCTAACAAAGTATATAGGCAGCCCCCTTGTTGGACATGACGTCACGTCATGACTTTGGAGAATATCAGAACTTGCTCAATTGTGGCTTGTTGTGTTTGTTTGAATTGCCACAATGTTTGGCACGCTTTTCATTCCTTGGTTCCTCCTCTTCTGCTTTTTATTTCTTTCAGTTTCCAATTCGTACTCGGTCCTCGGCCCCCGAACTCGATCCCGATTTAACTCTCGAAATTTTACTCAGACTTCAAAGTTCTCTTTTTATTCAATTTAACTCCAAAAACTCGTCTTAGTCCGGAATCTCAACCTACACAACAAAAAATACGTAATGAATATAAGTTGTCCACATTTTAGCTCATATACAATTAAACTGTAGCAAATAATAGGTGCAAAATAACCAAAAACTCATATTTCTAGCCTATCATCAATATTTTATTGGATGGTCTGATGAATCACCAAAAAAGGGACTTGAAATCACATTCTTTGAGTGCTTTATACAATTTCCAGCTTCTGAAGAACACAAATTTGCCAGCAAGTGTACAATCTTGTCTTCCTTACCCTACTTGTTTAGATTCTCTATATAATCAAGAATAACACAGAGTTGCCAGTATTGACCATCTTTTCCTATGTGGCAAATTATTTTTCTTAGTACCTTCATTTGTAATTTTAACTATGATACTGCTTGATGATTTTCTTTAGAAAAGAGTTAAGCAATATGCTTCTTCACATGGGCAGAGAATTTGCAGTTTATGGAAAGTTTGTGCATATTTACAGTAAGCTCTCCGCCCAGGCCCCATCCCCCTAAAACAAAAAGTGGAAAAGAAAGAAATAGAAGGTGTGTGCTGGACATATATACCTAAGGAATACCCTTTTTGTAATGCTTCTGTTATTTGTACATTAATTAGACTATTATTAATGTTCTTTGCTAGTCAGGATTACTTGATATTCTTCAAGTGAACAAAGTTAGCTGAAGCCAACTATCATATAAAAGGTTCATTTGTATTAATGTCACACTCAACAACAACAATAATAATAAACCCAGTGCCATCCCACAAGTGGAGTTTGGGGAGGGTAGTGTGTACGCAGACCTTACCCCTACCCTAATCTGTTTCTTTCATTCTTTTTATGTCAACTTTTCAAGATAAAGTTTTCAATGGATATCTAGTTCTGAGCAATTGAATCTTCTATGGCATTGATGTCTTTCATGCTTAAACAAACTTACACAAGACCACGTGGAACTCATAGTGATATTCCTTCATTTCTTTATGTAGCCCCAAAATTTCCAATGAGAATAGAAGGTGTTAAGGCATTCGGTTTTAAGGAATTAGAGGCAGCAGCAAGCAGCTTTAGCAGCACTACTGAAATTGGACAAGGAGGGTATGGAAAGGTCTATAAAGGCATTTTAGCAGAGGGCACAATAGTGGCAATAAAACGTGCACATCAAGGCTCATTGCAGGGGGAAAAAGAGTTCTATACTGAGATAGAATTATTGTCACGTTTGCATCATCGAAATCTGGTTTCTTTGGTGGGATACTGTAATGAAGGAGGTGAACAAGTAAGATTCTCCTAACTGAAACAGTAATATATATTAATATACATACATATAAATGAACCCAGAACAGACTGTTGGGAAGCGAATTACATGTGACTTTGTAATAGTTGACTATGTGTGCCTGCAGATGTTAGTGTATGAGTTCATGCCAAATGGTTCCCTACATGATCTTCTCTCGGGTACGTCATCTATCCTGCCTTTGCCTATGGTGTCATTTGACTTCCTTTTACTAAAATCAAGCACATCAATTCTCCTCTCACTTTTTTCCTTTCGTCTGGACAAAAGGATGTTTTATTTCTTACCTAAGAAAGAGGGTGGGAGCAGAATTGTATTCTTCTTTTTTGATTTTGGTGTAAAGCAGAATATAGTGACGACTTAGAGTCGATTTTACAAGTCCTAGATTCCTTGTAAGAAGTGCAAGGATTGTAATAGGGAGCTTTGTAGGCTTTTGTAAACTCTTTCTTTTGGCTTCCAGCACAACCTTTGTGCTGAAGATTAATTAATACAAATATACATGTTACATTGTCAAAAAAAAAAAAGAGGGTGGGAGATATATCCCTCTAGCAGTGTGCTTGCGTAGGGGAAAGTAAAGCTATGATTTCTCTCATTCCAATCACCACTATTAGTTTCCTTGTTGTTTTTACTTGTGTGGTCATTGGCAGGTTTGTCGTGTTAAACTTTATATTCTGAATTTTAATCATGTGCCAGTTTCGATATGAATATTAGAACAGGTATCTCCAAATTAAGATTATTACTAAGATTTTACTTATTTTTACAGCTAGATATAGGGTACCTCTGAGTCTTGGAACAAGGCTATACATTGCGTTAGGTGCTGCCAGGGGCATTGTCTACCTCCATACTGAAGCTGATCCACCAATAATTCATCGTGATATCAAGGCAAATAACATACTGTTGGACTCTAAGTTCACCGCAAAAGTCTCTGATTTTGGAATCTCAAGGCTAGCACCATTACCTGATGCTGAAACGAGTGGACATGTATCCACTGTTGTGAAAGGAACTCCAGTAAGGCTTTACTCATCTTATACGTTGAAGCCCGCAATAGAAAAGCTAGAAAATGGCAATGAAATAAGACCTGCAGCTTGAGAATGAACATCAGAATACCACGCCTCATACTGATTATAGAATTAAACATCTGTCACTGTTATACTGTGATTTACAATGAGCAAATTATGATTTTCAGATATTTTACAATTTTGAGCTTAACTAATCAAGTACGATTCCATCGCCAAGTTACAATAATGAATATAATATACATATAGAGAAAAGTATGAAGCGTGGGTGGATCTTGTCCAAATCTATCTCTCTTCTCTGTCTCTCTCTCACTTGCTTGGTTGCTCTTTCCTTCTTTCCTTCCCTGTTTTTCTCAACTTAACTCCGTGAGGTTTAATCATGAATGCACATACTATAGTCCTCTTGTATTTTAAATTTCTTTTTACCTTTTCAATTATTTTTTCTCTGCTTTCCAAAGATTGCTGACAGTTGCCAAAATTTGGCACTTATGTAGGGCTACCTTGATCCTGAGTACTTCTTTACTCACAAGTTGACCGAGAAAAGTGATGTTTACAGCCTTGGTATTGTGTTTCTGGAGCTTTTAACAGGGATGCGACCTATATCTCATGGCAGGAACATCGTCCGAGAGGTACTTGATTCTAGTTTTCCCTAAAGTTTTATTAGCATTTCACTTTGTTCATGAGGATGGTAATCTTCAAGAAAACATGAATTAGATAGCCCTTCTAGATATTTCCATATTTGCTGAGGAATCTGAAGATAAGCAATACTCACGTGTTTGGCCCATGAAAAAGAACCAGGCCTGCATGTGACGAGGCGTGTTGAAGACATAATTAAGTATATAAGTGTGCTCTCTCCAAAAGTTGAGTTGGTCACGCACGTCTACAATTTTGTTTGCATTAAATTATGTAGCCTCTCTAGGTAAGTTGGATGCTTTGATGTAAACATTGTGATACAAATTATGATCAACATCCATATATGCACCCCTCTAATCTCAAATACTATCGAATAAGTGTTTCTCCGGATAAATATGTGAAGTCCTCAATTATCTAGCTAATCCAACGTTAGCACTCACCATCCTGAAAAGAACGGGGGAATTCAGAATACGAGGAGCAACACATCTTATTTTTTATGTGAATCAGACATTGATTCAAAAGGAACTATAAATTACAGCTGTTAAATATATTTTAAAAAATTGGAGAAAGAAAAGGAAAAAAAGAAACTGCTAATTTGACTCCTCAAAGTGAAAATGTCATTGTTTTTGGAATGAATGAGTAAGAAAAGTTACTTTTGTACTAATGACAGGTGAATGCAGCATGTCAATCAGGGACGATGGCTTCTGTCATTGACAGGAGTATAGGTCCGTATTCCTCAGATTGTGTCAAGAAATTCCTGGATTTGGCCCTCAGGTGTTCACTGGACGAACAAAAGGACAGGCCTACAATGCTAGAAGTGGTGAGAGAGTTAGAGAACATCAATTATATGCTTCCAGCATTCGACAACAATAATACTGCACCCGATTTAGATGTTTCCATATCTGGAATGTCATCGTCATCACCAACTTCGGCTTATTCTAGACACACCACCACCAACACCACGACTATGGATTTTCAAGGAACTGAGCTTGAGCTTGTGAGTGGTGTTATTCCCTCCATCAGGCCTCGTTGATGCGTCTAAGGACTTGCTACCCTTCTTATGAAGTATCAGAGGTTCAGTATTAAGTCCGAGGTATGTAAATATATAAGCAGGTTGAATCAATTGTGAGAGGAGTAAAAGACCTGTATATAATCATTATGCTGTTGTTGTTCCATTAGACATGCACTCTGGTTTTTTATGACAGTAATAAGTGATTATCAATAGCTTCAACTAAGTGTTTGGATCAAGATTTGGATTAATTGAGATTGTTACTGTGGCTACTTTGCACGCCTGCGCTTTTAACATGGTAGTATAGAGTATAGACACAGAATTCAGAAAAGGAGTGATTTATTATTTCATCTAAGAGTTTAATGAATATAGAAACATATTGTTAGTAAAAATCAAATATTGAAAATATCATCAAGAGATTGTCTTTTAAATTTTCATGTTATTGAATTGTTTTATTCAACAAGTTCGTATAATGTTTCGTTGAAATAAAATGGATTTAATCTCTAATTTATTACACATGACATGAAAATAATATCGTGCTATATTTTTCATATGATAATTATCAAGATAAGAGTCAAAGTAATCTTATTTTAGTGGTTTCTTTTTTGCGTGCTTTACTTTCACTTAGTATTTTGTTTAGCACAACTTAATTTGTCTATGCATAGATAACTACTCGACATCCTTTTAATTATTCCTTTGTTCATCTTTATTCTTTTTATAATAATGGTAAGAGAATGAAAAATGCATTTAGGTAATATCTCATCTACTATCATTTTTCTCTTTATATATGAGTATCATCTGAGTATTTCATGTGTTGTGTAAGCAAAGTTGGATATAGCTCACGAGCTATGAGTTTAATTGAACCCATAATTTAAATATGTAAAGCAGATGTATATGTAAAAGATCATCAAAAGCTCAATAAATATTATATTCTAAACCCATATTTTCATTGTGCAATGGATTCAACGGTAAAAACATAAAGATTGAGGGTGTGTTTGATATAACGGAAAATGTTTTCCGCGGAAAATGTTTTCCAAGAAAATGTTTTCTTGGAAAACAAGTAGTAATCTTATTCATTTTCCGGTGTTTGGTACGCAAATTAAGGAAAATGACTTCTCAAGAGTATTTATGAATAATTTCGATATAATAAACATGAAGCCATAAACTTTCAAACCAACAATCTTCCGAACCCATATTTTTCATAAACTTTCGAACCGCTAAACTTTCGAAACCACGGAATTTCTAACCTGTAAACTTTATAATTTCTAAATATGTAAACTTCCAAACACATAAACCTCCGAACTCATAACTTTGGAACTTGTAAAATATTGAACCTTTAAATTTTTTCCGGGGAG